CCCTATTCCGCGAAATAGATAGGGTTGGTGACTTTGGGGTTGTTTTATATACAGGGTGTTTCAAAACAAATGCGAAAAACTTCAAGGGGTGATTCCTTGTTCAAAATAAAGGGTAGTTTGCTTCATAAACGTTGGGTTAAAAGTCAACCATTAGGGAGATATTGCGGTACAAAGATGGCGGAAAAATAATGTTTTTGTTTTTTATCTTGAAAACGAAAAGAGATTATTATTATTAAAGATTATTATTATTAGACTAATAAAATTTTATGGAAGCATTACTGTTATGAAAACACACTTTATGGTAATTTTTTCACTTTTTTAAAATGAGTGGAAGGGGTTGAAATAAACTACCCCTATCATTCTTGTTAACGAAATTTAAAGAAAAATCTTATCAAACACATGCAAAAAAATTAATTTGGATAGTTTAGTTTGTTTAGAAACTTTTTTATCTCTTGTATTTTTTTGATAAAACTCACCGATTTGAAATTAAAAATAAAATGTAGCATTACATGTCAGGACAAAAGTTTCTGATAAAGACCTAGTGGGTTGCTGTAATTTTTAGAAAAATCTAGTCGGCCGCTGTTTAGGATGTTCCTAATATTATTTTATTTGACATTACTCTACTGCAATACGTTATTATCTAGATGATTATTATTATCGTAAATATTACTAGATTCTTAATCTAAATATGTTTTTTGTCCTGACATGTAATGCTTTACATTTTATTTTTTAATTTCCAATCGGTCAGTTTTATCAAAAAAACACAAGAGGTAAAAAAGTTTCTAACCAAACTAAGCTATCCAAATTAAAGCATTTGCATGTGTTTGATAAGATTTTATTAATTTCGTTAACAAGAATGATAGGGGTAGTTTATTTCAACGCCTTCCACTCATTTAAAAAAGTAAAAAAATTACCTAAAAGTGTGTTTTCATAACAGTAATGCTTCCATAAAATTTCATTAGTCTATCTCTTTTCGTTTTCAAGATAAAAAATAAAAACATTATTTTTCCGCCATCTTTGTACCGCGATATCTCCCTAATGGTTGACTTTTGACCCAACGTTTATAAAGCAAACTACCCTTTATTTTGAACAAGGAATCAACCCCTAAAGTTTTTTGCATTTGTTTTGAAACACCCTGTATAATTACTCTTGCTTTGGCTTCTTTGTATATATTGGCAGAAGTTTCTATATAAAGCCTGTCAATACCTTGATTCGCTAGGGCTTCTATTATTCGGATATATCCAGTCGAAAGACTTCCCAAAGTCTATAAGGACTACCCAAGTAGCATCTATCTAACTTCGAACTAAATCTGACCTGAAGCGACGTCAGACTTTCTGCAAATTTAGGTCGGGTGCTTGTGATACGACCAGTGACGTTGCTTTCCTATTAAAAGCGACGTCGTAAGATGCGAGTCGGTAAATCCAAGATCTGTCCAGTAAAAAACACTAAAAAGGCATTTAGACATTCATCTACATTTTACAGAAAAAGTTCGAGGCTTTTGCAAAATAATAATAGTAGTAGTGATGTCTTGCCTCCACCCACGAATGTAGAGGAGACTGCACATCAGCCAGAACAGGTAGGTATACAATACTTATGTTTGTGGTATTAAGAAAGTATTCTCCTCGTTCAAGTAGTGGTAAAAACTTAATGGGTAATAATATAATCCGGAAGAGATGCTGCATTACACTGGTGCATCTTAATTTCTTTTTTTAGCTTAGGAAACCAGCAGACCCCATCCTCCTCCAACATGTGAGGTACTGGTTCCAATTCTTTTAAATTTCGTATATATACTATCTTAAAAAAGTGGCTGTCCATTTTTGTAAGGAGAAAACAAAAACTAAAATATAATTGCAGAAATCCATAAATCACTGATACGCAAAGTGAGTTTACGCCTGCGAAACCGTTGAACCGTCAACAGTCAAACATTTTTTGACAACAAACAATTGACCTATCATAGACCAATAATAGACAACGTCGGGAATCGGTTACCAGGAATACGAAAAATTATATGCCGACGACGGCCACAGAGTAAAAAAAACTCCTACGTATGCCGGCCGATCGCAAATTTTACGTGGCGTACGTTGGAATTATATACGTCATAATACGATTGCCGGTCGTCCGGTTAGATGGCTTCCGTCGTGTGAGACGACTAATGTTGGAGGTTGGAGGATTGATTGGTTGTTCATATTAAGTCAGACACAGAAATCCGCCATTCTTAACAAGTATCCGATTGTCAGCCATTTTAAAATCGTTTTTTGTTTTTAAAATTTATATTCACATTCCGATTTCTAGTAGAATAATATTGATATGGTTGAGTTTGGGGGGCACCAGAGTACAGATTTATGATTAAACCAGCTAGAAAATAAAATAAATATGTTGCGAGTTACTTTTTATAGATATTTTTATTTCATAAATCTACCTAATTTTGAAGGCGCGCTCGTTGTTTTCCGGAGTATTTTAATCAGATATATCAAAAAGTGACTCCCGTTGATAAAACTGATGTCTGGATTAATGATTCAGAATTATTATAATATCAAATTAGGTAGGCACTTATAGTTATATTCGAGGAGTGATTATGAATCCATTATGTATTCTTAGTAACGAATTTGAAACCAAACGTAACGTAAGTGCTTAGCGACTAATTTTAAGTAACTGAAATCCAACGTAATATGGCGTTGGTAATTAGTAGAATTACATTCCCTATTAGGTCAGATCGACGTCGAGGCGACCCGAATCTGTATTCCCTATTTAGGTGCAAATAAGGCTCGTCAGGCGGTCGAACCGACGCGACGTTGGTATTGGTACCCGACGTCGGGTTTAGTGAACGCGACGTATACCCGACACGGCGACGTTAGATAACGTCCAAATGCTACTTGGGTATGGCTAGTGGAAGTTCGTATTCTTTTATTCGGCTTCGACTGATAGTTTATACTAAGATAGCATATACTAAGAGTAGTATATGCTTTTATAAAGCTTGATTGTTCTCGCGTGTTGTCCAACGTCTAGCGTATTTTGTATTCTGTTGTTTATTATTTTTGTGAATATCTTGTATGTGTTGAATATCTTGTTTAGTGGTAGTAGGCTTATTAGTCTATAGTTTCTGATTTCTTCTTTGCTGCCTTTCATATATGAATTAGAATCATGTTGGCGCTATTCCAGTGTATAAAGTGGTGATTTCGGTGATTCACAAAAAAACAAATAACGATACCTTATGTGAACGCGGCTTTAAGAAAAAAGAAATCCAAAAATAACCCTCTTCTTTAGCTCTCGCCGACGGTCAGTTTTAAATTGATAATTACACCAAAGAACCCCCAACCCTTTCGAACACACAAAACAGCCCGGAGCGGGGGCGGACGCAGCTCTGTTCCGGCTCCCGCTTAATAATTCGCGCACCCCGCGCGCTCTGGCCAGTCCATTCTCCCCTTTCCGCCGAAAAAAGAATCCTTCCGTATTGTATCCCGGAATCCTTAATTCCGGTTAATTTTCCGGTAATGCGGCCGCGGCATCAAAGGCCTCCCGCCCGGTCAAAGGCAACATTTTAAGCGACTTTTCCCGCAAGGAATAATGCATTGTGGCGGCGGGCCCGGCATAAAGCCAAACTTAATTTACCTGAGCAGCGGCGGGCGGTCGGGGGGGATTGTGGGGGTCTGGCCCGGAGCTATCTTGCTCCGGATCCGTTTCTCTCTCTCTCCCGGACTCGGCGAGAGACTAAATCGGACGGACGCCCTCTAGCAGATCAGAGGCGCGGTTTCGTTTGTTAATTAATAGCTCTCGCTTTGAGCCGATAGTTTTTACTTTCACCGATACACACTACTAAGACGTATAAGGGATCTCGGGTGTTCAAGACGTGTAGGGCTAACGACGACGATGTTAAACTATATCACGGTAGTGTCTTTATATAATTCTGCTTGTACCTGTAAGTATATATCAGATTACAATGTTCCATTATCTACTCAACTGTTTTTGGTTTAATAGTAAATTTAATAATATCTCCCTTTTATAGCATTTACACGCCTTGGGAATAGCAAGATACACCTTGCTATACTGAGTGGTGCATTATCGTTGAAAACAGGAAATCCCATGCAAATTTTAAGCTGTCCAAATATTGCCTCCTCTGAGTGACGTAGCGACCGGTCAAAACCGGTTTTCAAAAATTTTATATTTTTATTACTAGGTATAATACAGGTTGGTCAGAATTGTATACCTGAAACTTCGGCAGCATATTTTGCAGATAAAAATAAGTAAAAAAGTTTCCAGTATACACTGCCTTCGATCTTCCCAATCTCCTGGAAGTAATTTTTTTTCGGACGTGGTTCGGTTAATGCCCTCAATCCAGATAACATTAGGTCTTCCTTTCATTCATCTTTCCGTTGTTGGTTATTCGTTCTACTCTTGACTTTCCGACAGATCTTCGCCAAAAATCAATTTCAAGAGCCAGTAGCTTACGCTGCTATGGGTACCGGATGTTGCATCGTCGGACGGGACATAGTAAATCCTATGTAAATTGTAATGGGGTCAATTATTGGCTTCCCTAATTATTTTAGAGACTAATTCTACTTAGGTTTATTGAAGAGCACTAAAACCCGCATTAAATAGAATAACTTTAGATATTTTTGATTAGCTCGTTTACGAGTTATCTCCGATTTCTTTTCAAATATTTCTTCTTTCTTATGGCCCTGTATTTACTTATGAGCACCAGTCAAGGTAAAAGATAACTGTCAAATGAAGTTGCCATTTCAGAAATTTACATTTAGTGCTTTATTATTATTGAAAACTCATTCCTACATCGGAAATCTTAAAGATGTATTTATAAATACAAATTAATATGAATTAAAGTAAAATAAAGTAATCAATTACAAGGTTAATTATAGTATTATTACAATATTCAATAACTTATTAATTTAGGTACTGTTAAATTGTTAGAACTTTAGGATTTAAGAAGATGTTCAAATATTCCTCCATCGACTCATCATCATCATCATCACGCAGCCCCCTGTCACGTCCTTAGTTGAGCATAGGCCTCCTCCAAACATCTCCAGTTCTCGCGGTTTTTAGCTGTTGCAATCCAGTTAGTTGTTATTCGTTTCAGGTCGTCGGTCCATCGGGTGGGAGGTCTGCCTTGGCTATGCTTGTCGACTCTTGGTCTCCACTCTATAAGTCTTTTGGTCCATCTCCCGTCTGCCATTCTAACAATGTGTCCATCGACTGCTAGACAATAACACAGGCGATCATAAAATTCTCTTCTTACATTCGCTAGTTGGTAAACTGAAATTCTATAGCATTCGGCAGAAATAGCTTTTTTTAACTCGTCTAGATTTGGGTATTTTTTATCCTTGTATATCCTGTTTTTTAAATGGCCCCAGAGAAAGAAATCATTTGGCGAAATATCAGCAGACCTTGCTGGCCAATTTATTTTTAATTTTTATTTTTTCCGTTAAAACTATTGTCTAACTATTCCCGAACAGCCAGGGTACTATGTGCCGGGCAGCCAATGGCAGCCATGGTACCAAACTTCCTAATTTTCCCTAGCGGCATCATGTAAAGCAGGTAAAATGATTTTCGAGTAGTTCCAAATAATATTCTGCATTTAAATTTCGCGTAAGAAATAATGGCCCGATAATATTGTGTCCGAATATCCCTGCCCAAAGATTTACTTTCTGTGGATATTGCGTCCTTGTGTCGACAAACCTGTGTTTGTTTTCTTTGTTCCAATATCGATAATTTTGAACATTGGGTTCATTATTTAAGGTAAACGTGCATTCGTCAGTGAAACATATGTTTTTTAAAAATTCCCTATCCGTGTTTGCTCTTTCCATCATATCAAAACAAAACGCCTGCCGCCATATTTCGTCCCCATCTCGTAGCTCTTGGTGCTTTTCATATTTGAAGGAATAGTATTTATGTCGTTTCAAAATTCGAAACGCTGTAGTATGATCTATTCCTATTTCATCCTCAAGTTTCCTTGTGCTGATCTTTCCATCGTTCTCTTCCACGCACAATAAAACTTCCAAGTCGGTATCATTTCTTGCATCTTCTCTTTGTTCCTGCCTTGTTATTTATTAGGTTACCTTTGGTCTTAAATCTCTGGATATTCCTTGCGATTGTAGATTTTCAAGGTATCGGTCTATTCGGATACAGAGCCGCAAACATATCCGACACCTTTTGATAACTATTTTCTTTGATAATACCATTTAATCATCAATACTTTTTCTTCGGTAGTGTAATTCATGGCTAATATTTTCGATGTAGATATGAGTTTTTAATAATAATAATAAAGCACTAAATGGCACTAAATAAATAAATTTCTGAAATGACAACTTCATTTGACAGTTATCTTTTACCTTGACTGGTGCTCATAAGTAAATACAGGGCCATAAGAAAGGAGAAATATTTAAAAAGAAATCGGCGATAGCTCGTAAACGGGTTAATCAAAATATCTAAAGTTATTCTTGTGAATGTAGGTTTTTAGTGCTCTTCAATAGAGATATTTGTTGACCATAATAGTGAGTTTAGGCATCCTATAACTCTTTTCCCTTTAATTAGTCGCTCCCATATTTCTTCTTAAGTTAGTCCACTTTGGCTAATCTTTGTTCCGAGGTAGGTATAGGTAATCTGAACAATATTGTACTATGCAAAGTTAATCTCCACTCTGCATATTCTTGAAAAAGTTTCTTCGTTATGAATTCCCTATCTTGGGCCACTGCTACTTGGTCATCTGCAAACTGAAGAGTATATAAGTTGGTGTTATTTTTTAATTCTATTCCTATTCCACTGCAGAATCTTCTCCATTTCTTTAAGGCTTCATTGAGTTGGCAATAGACAACATCCCTGACGAAGGGCCTTTGGTCAGATAAAAGGTTTCTGATATGTTACTGCCGATCTTTATTCTGGAAAATGCTTGATCGTATAGCTCTTTGATGGATTTGATCGCTGTATTGTTAATTGGAGAGTTCTCCAGCACTTGCCACAGTTTTTGGATTGGTACTGTATCATATGCTTTTGAAAGTTCAACAAAAAGCAGACGAGCCTCTCTATTCCTTGCCACCTTCTTTACATTAAGTTGGATTAGACTAAATATATGATCTCTGCACGATCGACCAGCTCTTGTGGACCATATTCTGTTTCTAACCAGTTTTTCGTATACTCTGTTCATTGTGCTGGTTACGGATATACATCTATAGTTTGAGCATTCGTCTCGTCTTCCTTTTTTGTGAATTGGTATTGTCCAGCCTTCTTTCCATATAGTTGGTACAGGATCCCCATTATTTAGGAACCTGTTAAATAGCTCTCGAAGAAAGAAATTTAGTTTTAATAGTAAATTTAATAATATCTCTCTTTTATAGCATTTACACGCCTTGGATAGGGTTCAAAACCGGTCGGGAAATCCCGATACCGAAAGTACCGGGAATTTCCAGTTCTTTTCACACATCAAAGAACCGGGACTCGAAATTATTAATTCCCGGTTCTTCCGACGAAAGACTTTTGATACTTTCTAGCAGTCGAATTCAAACTCTTCTTAATAAATAGTGATGCTGTCTCTTACTTCCGAAGTTATTTTGAAGTTTCTATAATTTTTATTAGCAATTATTAATATTTAATGTTTAATTCGTTTCTGATCATAACTAATTTTCGAAACCATTTCACCCGATTTAGAATAGGCGGACATGTTTCATTTTGACAGAAAATATTCGGCGACGTGTAAGGATAACGATGCAGCCGTTAACTGATTTTTACGAAAATGTGGACCTGTCCCCTTTCTACAATCAGCGATTCAACTATTTCCCGCACTACGGCTGATGCACGGTCACATTGGTAACTTTTCGAGCGGGCCCGGTATTTGAGCGCACCGACTCAAAAAGTCCTCAATCAAACAGAAGCGGCCGCGCCCGATCAATAAGCCAAAGTAAGAAATCCGAAACAACACACGTTGTCGCTCTCCGGAGTTCGAAAGGGCCACGCGCGTATGGTGGTAGGGATAGGAGAGGCAGTGGGAGGAGGTGGGAGGAAATACTGGAACGTCAGAGAGGTGACGGATACGGTGGGGCATCAGTCGAGAAAATTAAAAGACTGGACGGACCAGGATGTTGACTGTTGGTGGAAAACCAGGATCGTTGCCTTTTTCTCGCAGACAGATATTGAGACCATGTCCATGATCGAAAAACTTGATAGGTAAAGGGTTTTAAATTGTAGGGTAGCCTAAAAAATAAATATTAAAAATAATATAATAGGTAAATTGTAGGGTTGTAATAAGTCTTTTTCGCATCGTTGTCATTAGCAGTCGCTTAGCAGTAGAATTATATTATATTTTCTCAGTATATGTGAAGACTACACGGAAAAAACCAGCTTTGTCCATTTTAATTGGAGCCGAGAGAAATGCAATTTAGTGTTAGAATCTTATTCCCATTCGTTAATTTTTAATGAAATATATTTATTTTCGGTTGAATAATTAGAAAAATACATATTACTACCAATCCCGAATTATTAATAGATACCTAAGTATCATTTGGACGTTATCTAACGTCGGGTATACGTCGCGTTCAAAAGACCCGACGTCGGGTACCAACGTCGGTTCGAGCGCCTGACGACCCTTATTTGCACCTAAATGGGGAATACAGATTCGGGTCGCCTCGACGTCGGTATCTGACTTAGTAGGGAATGTAATCCTACCAATTACCAACGTCATATTACGTTGGATTTTAGTTACTTAAAATTCGTCGCTAAGCACTTACGTTACGTTTGGTTTCATATTCGCTACCAAGAATACATAAAAACCTAACCAAACTACCTAATTACAAATGGATTCATAATCACTCCTCGAATATAACTATAAGTGCCTATCTAATTTCATACTATAATAATTCTGAATCATTAATCCAGACATCAGTTTTGTCAACGGAAGTCACTTTTTTGATATATCTGATTAAAATACTCCGGAAAACAACAAGCGCCTTCAAAATTAGGTAGATTTATGAAATAAAAATATCTATAAAAAAGTAACTCCCAAAATATTTTTTTAATTTTCTAGCTGGTTTAATCATAAAACTGTACTGTGGTTCCCCCCAAACTCAACCTTATCAATATTATTCTACTAGAAATCGACATGTGAATATAAATTTTAAAAACAAAAAACGATTTTAAAATGGCTGACAATCTGATACTTGTTAAGACTGGCGGATTTCTTTGTCCGACTTAATATGAACTACCAATATACCAATTCCGACTGGGTCTCCAACATTAGTCGTCTCACACGACCGAAGTCATCAAACCGGACGACCGGCAATCGTATTATGACGTAATTCCAACGTACGCCACGTAACCTCAGTTTGCGTATCAGTGATATGTGGATTTGTGCAACTATATTTTAGTTTTTGTTTCCTCCTTAAAAAAATGGGCAGCCACTAAGCCTAACCCCACATGTGGGAGGAGGATGGGGTCTGCTGGTTTCCTAAGCTAAAAAATGAAATTAAGATGCACTAGTGTAATGCAGCATCTCTTGCGGATAAAAAGCATTTATGGGTGGAGGCAAGACATCACTACTACTATTATTATTTTGCAAAAGCCTCGACCTCTTTCTGTAAAATGTAGATGAATGTCTAAATGCCTTTTTAGTGTTTTTTTAGGCATAATAAAAAAATTAAGTATGTTTACAAAAACTTTTTATTAGGTTATGTTCATGATGTTCATTAGGTCGCAAATGCTACTTAATGGGTTGTATTTACGGACGTAAACAGAGATATGTAAATAGAGATATGTAAATAGAGATACGTAAATTAGGTTATAAATATGAACATAAAATACAACTAAATATAATTGGACGTTACTTTAGGGATTATCAGTGAGACGTATCCTATTCGGACAACGGGTAGACGTCGGGCTAGATCAAGTATATGTACGTCGTGCAAGCCAACGTGGGAACGACGTTGGGAAATTAATAAAAATGGTACGTTGTTATTTTGTACGTCGACAGATCGTTGGATTTACCGACTCATATCCAACGACGTCGCTTTTAATAGGAAAGCGACGTCACCGGTCGTATCACCAGCACCTGACCTAAATTTGCACAAAGTCTGACGTCGCTTCAGGTCAGATTTAGTTCGAAGTCAGATAGATGCTACTTGGGTATATTGTTAATGATCGCAATATTCGGGAAATACCAAAATAAAAATGTCAAAATACAAAACAAAA